TTAGTCTAAGGTTGGACAATCTACCTCTGTAGTGATATTGCCCCAGAAACCCAAAGAGGGGTCACTATGAGTTAGATCCGACTCAATGGCAGTGAGTTTGGGTTTTTGTTTTTTATTTTTTTGGTCTTTGTTTCTAAGGTGGGTCTCTTGTAGACAGTATATTGATGGGCTTGTTTTCTTATCCAGTCTGCAACTGTCCATGCCTTGATTGGTGCATTTAATCCATTTACATTCAGTTTGTCAACAAATATGAATTTATTACAGTCTTTTTGTTATGTGCTTTTTTGTGGTGTTGCTGCTTTCTTTGATCCATTTAATTGTCTGTGCTGAACTCATTTTATTTATGAATTTTTTAATCATTTCCTTCATTGCTATTGTTATAGTATATGCTAAATATCTGTGCCTCTCTCTTTTGTTCTGGTAACAGGTTTATTAATTTTATTTGAGGTAACCTGTGATTTATTATTTTCTTCCCAAATCTAAAATAGTTCTATCTTGAAATCATTTTTACTTCCTCTCCATCTGGAAGTTCTGTATCCACACTATTCCCTCTTTTTGGTTTGTATTTGTCCTTATTACCAATCGATGTCTCTTGCTCCCTGTTTACGGTCTTTTACATTTATTTGACTTTGGCTACTTCTATATTGGGCAATCCTACTTCCATAGTGATACTGCCTCGGAAACCCAAGGAGGGGTCGCTATGAGTCGGGGCCAACTCGACAGCACATAACAACATATCTGGTTTGGTTTCTGGGTTATGTCATCATGTGTGTTAATCATTGATTGTTGTCTGCTGTTGTTGGTTCTCTGTCCAAAGGACTGCTTTTAGCATCTATTATAATATTGGTCTGGTTTTAACAAATTCCCTTAATTTCTGTTTATCTGGAAATATCCTAATTTCACCATCATATTTGAGGGACACTTTTGCTGGGTATATAATTCTTGGTTGACATTTTTTTTCTTTCAAGGTTTTATATATGTTGTCCCATTGCCTTCTCACCTGCATGGCTGCTGCTAAGAAATCAGAGCTTAGTCTTACTGGTTGCCCTTTGTATGTAACTTTTGGTTTTTCCCATGTTATTTTCAGGATTCTTTGTCTTTGGTTTTGTTAAGTTTGATTATGATATGTCTTATTTATTTCTTTTGAGGTCTATACTGTTTGGGGTTTGTCAAACTTCTTGAATACACATCTTCTCATCTTTCATCATATTAGGGAAGCTCTTTTCCAACAAATCATTGACAATTTTCTCTGTGTTTTTATCTGTCTCTTCCTATTCTGGAATTCTGATCACACATAAGTTATTTCTCTTGATGGCTAACTTTTTAATGTTTTGTCAGTTTGTTCTTGCATTGTTTTCCTAAATTCTTCTAGAGTTTTGTTTGTTTTTGTCAGTGATTTCCTTGATTTTGTTAGTGTCTTTCTTGATCTATTGGTTCATTAAAGGTTCCTAAATACAATTTTTTTTGAATTCTTTATCAGGTAGTGCCAATCCACTTCCTCAGGGAGGTTTTCTGGCTCTGTATTCTAGGTCCCTTATTTGTACTACTTTATCTTGCTTCTTTGTGTGAACTGGGATTGTCACTTATCTCTGAGACATTGTGATGTTTTGTATTTATGTTTAATTGGTGATTATATATTGGTGTGATTCCCCCAGGTTTTTTTTTTTTTTTGGATACATCTGAGTGAGTGGGACTGGTGTGCTACTCTTTTCCCTAGTTTGGCAGCACTTAGGCACTCACCACCTATCTCTTGGTAGATGTGATAGAAAATGAGAATGTTTGCACAGATCTCTGTTAGCTGTTCCTGTAGAGCAGTTGAGGGCAGGTTGGGTTGATATTGGCTGCTGTCTATTATTTATTGATTAGTGCAGAAGCAGGTGCTAGCCCTCGCCTAGTGGGTGGGACTGCAGGAGGTACAAGTGTGGTTGAGTCATGTGGACACAGTTGCTGTCTCCTGCCTTTTTGATCCTCAGTCACCAGTGTGGTTTCCTGTGCAGTGCTCAGCAAGCAGAGCCGATTATCAGATTGCTGCCCAGATTGGAATGATGCTTGCATATATTCAAAATGGCAGCGCTGTCAGGCCAGTCAACAGTCCACAGCTCCATTTGTCTCCTTATTCGCTGTTTTCATTCAGTTTCTTCTACTAGTTGATATTTAATCCACTTATTTATCCTCACTTCAAAGTTCAGGGTTCCAGGATTATCTTCTGTATCTGTTCCAATTCATTTCTCAATTCTTTGTTGTAAAGGGTCTGTGTAGGTTGTCTGCCTATTCCAACACCTTGCTGTCAATCCCTAGAGCTTAAATTCTAAAGCACTTGGCTTGTGGAAGGACCTCTGCTGGCACTGTGGTTAACAGCATTGGGCCACTAACCAAAATGTTGGTGGTTCAAACATACAGGTGAAAATAAGACATTACTCAATGGCAGCGGGCAGTAGGCTTTGGTTTGTGAAAGGCTGTTATCTGCAGCAGGGGTCCTAACTCCATTTAGGGTGTTGACATAAGGTCAGACACAAATTGAGTTCTTTCTGACCTTTAAACCAGCAATGTAGCTGTTCTTAGACAAGTCCAGTGCAAACCCCAGAAGGGGCAGTTTTCCCTCAGGAAGAATGAAGTTGAAAAAAGATTAACTACTATGAGGCTTCCACAAAGAACTAGGGAATTTGCCTGGGCATGTCCATAATGATTTACCAAAAATAGACACTTGTTATCTAATTAAAGTTAAAAGTTGGTGTCCTGGTGACTATAACTCAGGGCCACATGGTCATTAGCCCATGCACTGACCACCATGTAGCCAGGTGATTGAAGTCCTAAGCCAATCCTTTTAATCTACAATTGTGTACATATCCCAAACACAGTCCTTTCCCCTATTCTGGAGTCCCGCCTACAACAGTAACAGATTGACTTGTCACCAATCATGATCTTGTGATGATTTCTTTTTTTTTTTTTGAGAATCCATGGATATGAGTCAGTGGACTCTATCAGCCTAATGCTGACAGTTTCCCTCATCGGGGTGATTATGTCTGTTTTGTCTTTATCTCGTTTAAGGCTTAATAAAATGGTCTCTATAGAATATGTGTGCATCTGGGATCTTTTCTCCCCCTAGCACAGATCCAAACTGACAGAAAGCACTGCATCAATCTGGGCCCATCACTTGCCCCTGAATGACTTAGAGGCAAGGGGAATCAATGCAAATATGCTGACGCTCATCCTGCTTGGTGTGCCCTGAGTAATAAAATCTTCTATCTCTAACCCAGGAGTTTCGTGTCTCCTGCCAGCATCTATGAATCAGTTACAGGTTAACTTATTAGCTTATAAACTGGAAAGATAGACTTGGAGTCATCAGCATGTGTGTGATGGGTAAAGTTATGAGTATAAATAACATTGTCCAGGAAGTCGTCTAGGGCAGCACACTGCTTAATGCCAGCAAGGTTGGGGGTAAGAAAAGGAGCTCACAGAGGAACAGGAGGAGGAAACCTAAAGGAGAATGTTGTTGTTGTTATGTGCCATAGAGTCAGACCCGACTCATAGCGACCCCTCCTTGGGTTTCTGAGGCAGTATCACTACAGGAGTAGATTGCCCCATCTTCCTTCCAAGGAGTGGCTGATGGGTTTGAACCTCCAGCCTTCTGGTTAGTAGTCAAGTGCCTTAGGCACTATGCTACCAGAGCTCCTTAAAGGAGAGTAGTGCCCTGCAAGCCAAGGGAGTAGAATTTCAATCAAAACACAATAGACAACAGGATCTGATGCTGCTTAAAGGCCAAGTAAGATGATGACTGACAGTGGCCACTCAATTTGGCTACTATGTTACTGGCAAGAGGAATTTCAATGAAGTGGTATGGCCAGAGGCCAAACTATAGTAGGCCAGGAATGAATGGAGGAAAGAAAATAAATATATTTCCAAAAAGCCTAGGTGAAAAGGAAAGAGAGGTGGAGCAAATGAAGTTTTCTTTTTAAATAGATGGAAGAGATTTGAGCAGATCATATACCGAGGAGAATAAGCCAGAGAAGAGGAAGGGGTGGCCAGTGGGAGTGAGCAGCTGGGCCTATTGCAGACAAGCCTCTGATTTTTTGAACTGAGATTACCCCCCAAGGACCCTCCTCTGAGTGGTGCCGTGAGAAGGACTAAGATCCAGAGAAGACGGCAATTCTTAACATCTTTTACAGTCCAGATCCTTTGAGACTCCGATGGAAGTAACAGATCCTTTCCATAAAAACATTATGCACACAACACAACCCTACACACAGTTTTCAGGGTCACACACCAACAACCACCACCACCAGCCTCCCGCAGGCCAGGTCTCACCGGAGTGTGCATCACTCGATATGCTGGCTAAATATGCAGATCCCCAACCCGGTCTGCAGAGTTTCTCATTTAGTCGGCTTGGGGCGAGGCCCGGGAAGTCTGCGTTTGTATCCAGCACCTCAGATGAGTTGGGCGCTGACTTTCCGTGGAGCCCATCATGAGATAACCCTCTTCTGTCTCTCGACTGTCCCCATCTCTCCAGGTGCACCAGCCGCCTCCCTAGACTGCCCGCAGCTTCGCCCTCCTGCGCGATTCTAAAGCATCTGGGCAACCTAGGGCGGACCAAGAGCTAGGTGTTCTGGGGCCTATCCGCCTCCTAAGGGAAGCGCAGTGCGGCGGCCAGCAGGGGGCGAGCGCCAGGAAGGTCGCAGGGAGCGGTGCCTGCGGGCCCCAGCCAGGACCTGGCGGCGGGAAGAAAAGGGGCGGGAATGAGGCACGCCGCGGCGCAAGCCGGGGGCGGGGACGGACCGGGGCCGGGGCGGGGCGGCGAGCGCTAGGGAGCGCGCCTGGGCGCGAGGAGGGAGGAGCGAGGGGAGCGCGCGGCCGCCCTCTCCCGCCCTCGCACCGCCCGCGCGCAACAGTTCCCCCAAAGTTGACGCCCGGGAGGCGGATGCGCCCGGGCGGCCGCGTGGCGGGGAGCTGGCCGGGTTCGCTGCCTTGTGGTCGGCGTGCCTGGGTTCGGCGACGGCGGCGGCATGGGTACCCGGCAGACCAAGGGCAGTCAAGCGGAAAGAGCCAGCCCCGGCGCAACACCCGGCCCTCGCCGCGAGCGGCCCGACTTCTGGGCGTCGCTGCTGCTGCGAGCCGGGGACAAGGCGGGGCGCGCGGGCGCCGGCGCTGGGCTGCCCCCCTACCACCGGCGCGTTGGCATGGTTCAGGAGCTGCTGCGGATGGTGCGCCAGGGCCGGCGGGAGGAGGCGGGGACGTTGCTGCAGCACCTGCGCCAGGTGAGCTGGGGAGTGGGAGCCAGGGGCGCGCCAGCCGGGAGCGCCCCGCCCCTTCCAGGGAGTCTGTGGAGCTCCAAGGGGCACCGCCCAGGACCCCTCTCGAGAGGATGGAGCCCAGTCTGCCGGCAGGTGTCTTGGCGCTCCCGCTGAATGTGGGGCCTCAGGGCAGGGCGGACGAAAGCTGGCCGAGTGAGGCCGGGTGAGGGGAACCTGTTGGAATAATATCCCCGCTTCTCTCCTCCGCAGACAGAGGAGGTTGGTTCCTGGGCATGAGAATTAGAGGGATGCAGGGGTGAATGCCTAGTCTGCGCCAGGCGCTTCTCTTCCTCACGTCCCCACCCCCGCGCTGGGCGCAGTTGCCCGCAGACCCCGGCTTCCCGAGGGGAAGTCAAAGGGCCACAGTTCTGGGGCTGGCCATTCGCCTTCGAGAGGAGTAACTTTCACAGGCCGCAGCCACAAGCCCCTGCTGAGAGCTGTGGTGAGAGGGGGGCTAGCTGGATTTGGGTTCTTACGTGGCTTTTGTGACTCCCTGGCCAGCAGGGATTTCAGGAGGCTGGAAGCACCCTGCTCTGGGTCGGTTCCAGTCACACTGGTTGGAGACTGACTTCGAAGATCAGACCAGTCACCTCTACTCTGGACTCATCAACCTCTCCTTGGCTTGTTTACCTTTCTGGCTTTCTTTTGGAAGAGTGGTGGCTTGTTCAGTGGATTTTGCAGAGAGAAGCCAAACCAAACCACCAAACTCATGGCTGATGAGTTTTTACCTACTCATGGCACCCATGTGTTACAGAGTAGATCTGCGTCCTAGAGTTTTCTTGGTTGTAATCTTTGTGTAAGCAGATTGCCAGACCTTTCTTCAGTGGCTCTGCTGGGTTGGTTCAGATTACCAACCTTTAGGTTAGTAGTTGAGCATAAACCGTTTGTGCCACCCAGGGACCTTTGGAGGAAGGCAAAACAAGTAACAAAGGAACACTGCCATCAAGTTGATTCCAACTAACAGTGATTCTTTAGAGCAGAGTAGAACTGCCTCATAGAGTTTCCAAGGCTGTAAATCTTTAGAGAAGCAGACTGCCTCATGTTTCTACAGCAGAGCGACTGGTGAGTTCAAACTGCTGACCTTTTGGTTAGGAGCTGAATGCTTTAACCACGATGCCACCAGAGCTCCTTTTGGAGGGAGACAGGAGGGTGCGAAAAAAGCTGTCTTCACCATCACCAAACAGGTTGGCTTGGCTTGGCTTTGGGGGATAGCCAAGTCCAAACCAGAAATCTACTGCTGTGGATTCTGACCATAGCCATCCTATACAACAGAGTAGAGCTGCCCCATAAAGTTTCCAAGGCTGTAAATCTTTATGGAAGCAGACTGCCACATCTTTTTCCCATAGAGCAGCTGGTGGCTTCAACCCTAACTTTTGGTTAGCAGCTGAGCCATCAACCCCCTCATTCTTGCTAGATTGACTACATGATAGGTGGAGTCAGCTGTGGGTGGGGGAAATGGAGTCTCAGCTCGCCTTTTGGAATTTGCCTATCGTTAATGAAAGATGTTGGAGGAGCACCTCCTTGGGAGAGCTTTCAAAATCTTTCTGGATTTTATTGCGCTCCCAACCTCCAACTTTATCTCTGGTGTTGCTGTTATCCTGGAGTATGTGTTCCCAAGATGTGTGCTGCAGAGGGAGAGGGAAGCAGAGACTTTGGGGGGAAGGGAGGGGATCCTGCTATCGCCTCCACTTTCCGAACATCCAAATGATGCCTGGGGAGCTCTGGTGGCATAGTGCCTAAGGCATTTGACTGCTAACCAGAAGGCTGGTGGTTCACCTACCAGCCACTCCTCAGAAGGAAAGTTGGGCAATCTACTTCCATAGTGATACCACCTCGGAAACCCAAGAAGGGGTCACTATGCGTCGGATACGATTCGGCAGCAGTGAGTTTGGGATTTTTTGGTAAATAATGCCTGAGATACCGATGGACCCCCAGATGTCTTTTCTAAATGAAATCATCAAAGACAGGTGACATTGTGCACCACATAACTTTAGCAGTGTGTTTTTTTGTGTCTTGAAAACTGGAAACCAACATATGGCCTCTATGGTAACTCTTCACTTTCAAACAGAATAATGGATTTTCCAGACCATCGTACCCTATTTGCATACCAGGCACACCAGCTATTAAGGAAGTTTTACTGATTATGTGCACTATCCAGAGCCCTGTGGGGGTTACAGAAGAGTGGAAGAAGTTCTGCCTGCAGGGGCTGACTGGTGGGGAGCAGGACAAGTGGTTCCTGGAAGTAAAAGTACAAAACAAAGCCAGCATTTGGGTGGCACCTGCAGCAGGATGCTTGACCCAAAGTTGGCAGACACCTTAGGCAACGTGGGCCCTCTGAGGCCAAGTGTGATTCCACATCAAGGGTTAGCTGGGCTCTCCCTGCTTTGCAGAGGAGTGGATAAGTCGCAGTGGTTTCCTCAGGAATGTTGGTCTAGTTGGTGTCCTGGCACCTTCCTTAGTGGCAGGACTGAGAGTGGTGATAGAGATAGGGAACTGGTTCAGACTTTTCCCCTTTTCTGTGGAAGCAGAGTAACTTGCCCTCTGGCTTCAGACACGTGTCAGGTTCCCTTGACCTCTCAGACTTATGTGTGAGTACTGCGGGCCTCTCCACAGCCATCAGTGGTTCTACTCATGGGGTCTGGAGAACTGCCTTGTATGGCCTGGTAAATGGTCATGGCTTGGGGTAGTGTAAGAGGGGAGCACAGGGTGTCCAAGTATCCATGAGAAGCAGAGAGGTGGTTTTTAAGGATCCCGAGTCTGTCTGGAGGATTGTCTGACTACCTTTGCTGTACACTGAAGTGACTCTTTCTCCCAAATCATGTTTTCCTTTTCAGCTTTCCCCTCTAGTCTGTAGGTGATGATGTTCAAAAAGAGAATGAGCAGTCACTGAGAGTTGTGCGAACACCCCAGGGCCTCACAGGGGTCAGACCAAGGGGAACCTCTTCTCCAGCAACAGCAGATAAAGGCAGGGCCAGATGCAGTGTACAGAGGTTCTCAATTTTGTTGGAATGTGTCCTGGTTACCTAGTGCCGCTCTGACAAAACATATACCACAAATGGGATGGCCTTAACAAACAAGAGTTTATTCTTACAATTTGGAGGCTTTAAGTCCAAGTTCAAAGTGCCAGGCTCTAGGGGCTCGGCGAAAGCCCCTCAACCTTGGGGTCCAGCTCCATCTCCTCCTCCCGGCCCACTGGACCTAGAGGCGTTTCTTCACTCAGATAGCTGCTGGCTGCTGAGGTTGAGAAGCCCCAAGGTTGACAAGTAAAAGGCATAGTCCCGATGTTACCAAACCACATGGCAGGCCATTAACTTAAGTCCATTGTAAGTCCCAAGGTTGGCAGAGTATAGCAGGCTACTGAGCAATGACACAGCTACATGCAGGGTCCAAGCATGCCATAGGCTGGAGACCATTCTCAAAGCTTCTTATATACAGGAAGCAGACTGCATCCCAAAGGCAGCTACTCAGCTGCTTGTGGTAGATCCTACCATGGACTTGATTGCCAGTCTCATCATGGGGAATAACTACCACCAGCTGCCCAGCCATTCAACCAGGCCCAGCCAAGTTGACACACAAACATAACTACCACAGAATGTGGTCCAGGGCCCACAGAGTGGGTGTTGGTGGACAAAAGAGGGTCAGAGAGTAACAGCAATTAGGACAGCAGCCTCATCCCCATTTGCCTAGCACATTCTTCTGTGTTTGATAATGTGGTTTGACCGGCACCAGATTAAGGCAAGTGAGGGCCCTCCAAAAATCAAAACCATACTCACCGTCATCGAGTTGATTCCAATTCATACCAACCCCCATTGGGTTTCTCAGGCTGTAAATCTTTACAGAAGTAGATTGCCCTCTTTTCCTTTCAGCTGGTAGGTTTGAACTGCTAAACTTCTGGTTAACAGCCAAATGCCTTATCCATTATGCCACCAGAGTTCCTCATGAGGGCCCTAAGCACTCATAATCTGTTACCCCCTCCTCTGCTTACTCATGCATTCAAATGAGATATGTGAGTTTTATATATATATATATATGTATATATGTATGTATGTGGGAGCGCTGGTAGCCTAGTGCCTACGGCACTTGACTGCTAACCAGAAGGCTGGCGGTTCAAACCCACTAACCACTCCTTGGAAGGAAGGTGGGGCAATCTACTTCCGTAGTGATACTGCCTGGGAAACCCAAGGAGGGGTCGCTATGAGTTGGGTCTGACTCGAGGGCACATAACAACAACATGTATGTGTGTGTGTGTGTGTGTGTATGTGTACATGTATGTATGTGTATATGTATATGCATACACACACACATACACACACATGTTTATGTGTCTTAGCTATCCTTAATAGCTAAAACTTATTTTTAAATGTGTCTGTTTTAGTGATTGTATGCAAAAGTGGTGTATGCCATTGTAGGAAATGAGATGAAGTGGATTATAAAATTTTTAGTAGATGCAGGGTATTAAGATTTTTACTATATACCAAATTTTCTACAAAAAGAATATTCCACATATTCAACAAAAAAAAATGAGTCAGCAAATTTAGTTGTGGCAACAATCAATGTAAAATTCTGTTGATCTCCCACAACAAAAAATTGACTTTTCACCAATTTTGCTTTAAATGGCTCATAGTTCAGTTTTGATGCTTGTTTTGTAATAAATGCTATGATTATAAATGAACAAATGAAAAGATCTCATAAAAGAATATTTAATGACCAGAAAACAAATATTATAACAAATTACTGTATTTTATTTTCAGATAGTTAGACTTGATAATCATCTTCCACCACTTATTTATTAGAATGAAATAGTATAGGCAGACCTTGGAGATATTTCAGGTTCAGTTCAAGACCACCACAATAAAGAAAATATCACAATAAAGCGAGTCACATGCATTTTTTGGTTTCCAGTGCATTACACTAAACTGTAGTCTATTAAGTGTACAATAGCATTATGAAAAAGTTTAAATATT